TTTGATTATTACCATGAAGTAGTTCAGAAAAGTTTGTTGGATGAAATGTTAGAATTAGTTTAAACTTCAATTGCTGAGATTATTTTAAATATAATTTTCACATAAAATGTCTTCTCTATACTCGACGCCCGATTTCTGTTAAACCATTCTTCTATATTTCATTGGCTGAGACCATGAGTCAATTGAAACTAGACCACCATGGAAAACCTGGAAGCACTGAACGGTTTTCCGTCCTATTGTGGGATTCCTCAGCACTTCGTATCCACGATCTCGCTTCACAAGACTCGAACTCAGGACCTATCAATCTCTTGCGCTAGCGCTTATCCACTAGACCACTGAACCGACCGGCATCCACCATTGCCGTCATTGCGTTACTATCTCACAACAGACTCGGTTGAACTCCACTGGTCACTGCTTCTCACTAGAACCCTAGGTAATACCTCTTGAAGCCAGTCACTAGTGAACATATGTTGATTCATATCAGAAGGGTTTTTATGAATATTATATTAATTTCAATGATTGAGATCATGAGTCATTTGAAGCTAGATCACCATGGAAATTCTAGTAGTCCCACAATAGGATGAAATAGCCATTCAGTGCTTCCAGGTTTTCCATGATGGAATAGCTTCAATTGACTCATCATCTCAACCATTGAAATTACTATAATATCCACGAAAAACCCTTTGTGATATTCCTCTATATATTGACAAACATTGGTATAAATTAAAACAGTATACTAATACATGTTAGTTTCCATTGGATCCGTCAAGTTGTAATTCACTCTTTTCTAGATTCATGAATCCATATATGTATACTGATGAGTTTTACAAGCATTACGCTGTCTTCATAAATTCAACCGAAATGACTTAATTTACATAAAATAACATTAAAAAATATGACATTACAACAGTGCATATATATATATATATATATATATATATATATATATTTATATATATAATTCCAGCTTTATCCTATAAACAAATTAAAGGGAAACATACCAATAGTTCAATGATATACTGATAACTAACCCTTATAAACTAGATATGTATACGAATGTGTATTTTGAATCTGATTATAGGTATACACAAAATGACTAGGTTAATAATCTCATATGTTTCATTTAGAATAATCTGGTTTATTTCAAATGGTTTATTTTAATATCATAAATTAGAAGGTATTGATGGTTGGATACAATACTTGTTAACTATTGTAAATATGAAATCTGTTTAATTGCTAGACCTAATAATCTAATCAAATAGATTACTTGAAGACTGTTGATTGAGATGGTCTAGATTGTTTACACGCAGTAGTCATCATCATTATGCCTTAATTAACAAATATTATAAGCAAGGATGCATAATGGTTAGCAGTGGAATCTGGGATGCGCGTTTCCTTCTATTTGAGACTCATCAGTTGATGTACCAGGATAAATTAAATTTAACTAATATTAAATTCACTTGGTAACGTTTACTTCAATCTTCCCATTGATGTTTAGGACTGTAGTTGATCAATCTCTTATTGGCATATATGCATCCTGTGTGCATTGCCCCAATATTGTCTTAAGTCACAAGCATTATGAACTAAGACAGAGAGTGGTTAACAATAGAATCCAGAAGACGCATTTCATCCTACTTGAAACTCATCAGCTGGATGTGCCCAAATCTCAAATTTGTTATTCACACCAAGTGATGAGTATCAAATTAGGACGAAACACACGTCCTGGATCCCACTGTTAGTTGCCATGCATCTTTGCTTAGTAACCACAATTAATTTTCTTTTTCTTTTTATAAAATATATTTATTTCTTTAAACGAAATGAAAAATAAATCAAAATGAGAATGAATTAAATGACACATGAATCATTCATTAGAAAGTGAATAAAATATTTTTCTTTTCATTTTGTTCATTCATTCAAACAAAACAAACCAAAATATTAACCATGAAAACAATTGTTGAATACATTATTTAAATTGTATTTATACCGTCTTATTATTTCTTATTATGTTGACCACGTCACAATTTGTAGTAAAGATATTCATACTAGTACTAGTGCTATTATTATTATTATCATTATTATTAGGAGTAGTAGTAGTAGTAGTAGTGGTAGTAGTAGTAGTATTCATGTCATTTATAGGAATAATATTAGCTGTTGTATAAATCAATCTAGTCGAATGATTATCATTGAATTTTGTAGCGGTTTCATCTTTTTTAATTGGATGGTTTGAACGTTTATGATTTTCTAATGAACGTGATTGACGAAAGCCTCGATGACATATTGAACATGAAAATGGTTTTGATGTTTCGTCCTATTGTGGGAATTCCCGGAGTTCCAGTGAGAAGCCGTGATCAGTGGAGCTAATCCTTGTGGGGTAGAGACAGGTATCTACCTCAGTACAATGGAAGATGGTCGCAAAATTTCATGGATTGATCGAAGTTAGACAATGACACCGTTGGATGCCTGCTCACTGGTCTGAAGTTTAAGCATTGGTGCGCGAGACTAAAGGCCTTAGATTTGATTCCCGCGAGCTGGATCTTGAATACGCAGTTCTGAGGAGTCCCACAACAGAACGAAACGGTCAACCAGTGCTTTCGGATTTTCAGTGATGGTCTCACATCAATCAGTGCACGACCATTGTTGAAAACCTAGAAGCACTGGCTGTCCATTTCATCATATTATGGGACTCCTTAACAGTAAACATCCACGATCCCGCTCGCGGGATTCAAAACCAAGGCCTTCGGTCTCTCTCTATATATAAACTCATTTTTAAGTTGTATTTGTCAAGCTTTTCTCTTTTAATTCTAGTGAATCAACCAATGAAAATAAAAGAAAAATATATTTAAACAAAGACATTAATAATGATTGAATTAAATGAAACATATTCAATGTTGAAAAGGTTGCGATTTTAATGAATTTCGTTTGAGAGAAACCTTTTCAATCAAAATGAATTGAATCGATATTACTTATATTAATCATTATGAATAGAAGAAATGAGATGGAAATAATTATGAAATAAATAAGTAACAAGTAAATAGTATTGAACTGGATTCGAACTACATCATGAGACAAGCGATAACATGGAATCGTGAAGGGAAACATACAACAAGAAGAAGAAGACGGTCGAAGAATACACTATGTCGGAACTTGGAAACAGACATGAAAAAAAAGAATAACAATTGAAAAGAACTGGAAAAGATTCATCAAGACAAGGTTGCATTGAGAATGTTGCTGGGTGACTTATACTCTTCCATAAGGAGTAACGGACATAAGTAAGTTAATAAGTTTTGGTTCAATGAAATAAATCTTTTTCTTCTATTTTTTCTTCTTGTGAAAGAGATTGGTAATACTTTTGAATGGTACTTTAATGTGTCGATTCGTTGATTGATTGATGCGCGTGTGTGTGTTTAACATTTCATTATGATTTTTATCAGAATATACTTGTGAATTAGGATTCATCGTTTGTCTATTAACCAGTTTACAATGTTTATGCCAAATACTTAAAAGATCTGGTTCACATAAATATGGGTACTTTTTATAAAAAGTTGAATAACCACCATGTAATATATAAACAAATGGATATTTTAATGCAGGATATGAATTGAAATGTAATAGTCTGTCATGATTACGTAAAAGATAAAATAATTGTGGTGCACGTTTTGTAGAAAATTCACAATATAATATAAATATAGTATGAGATGGTTTTGGTTCAATCAGTTGTTCCGTTGAATATAATGAGTTACTTAAATCCATTTCAGTAGTTTCAATAGATTGTTGTTTTATACCAAAAAAATATTTATAAAGTTTTGGCCAATCTGATAAATTAATAGCACTAAAAATATGTCCAGCATTATATTCGTGTGGATAACGACAATCGATAATAACGAAATGTTCAGGATTCATTTTCAACTTTGATAAAGTGATCATTTTTTGTTGATTTTGAAGTTTATGTTTATATCTAAGGTCATGTAAACAACATTTTGATCTCTTATTACCTTTACCACTCAACTGTTCTTCATTAGGTCCAAAAACTTTTGAAGATGATGATGAAGAAGAAGAACAAGAACAAGAAGAACAAGAAGAACAACATGATGATGAAAAAAATGAAGAGTTGGACGAAAAGGAATATGATAATGTACATACTGACTTTTGGAAAATAGGTGATTTTTTTAAATCATTGATTTCATCTCAATTAACCAATTCGCTAGTTGGTCCACTTCAATTGATGGCCATGGTGAATGTAAACTATTATTCAATGTCCAAAAATCATAATGATGAAGTGAATTCTGTTGAAAAACAATTGATAAATGAAACATTGAAGTTTTATTGGTTAAAAAGTGTCAGATAGAAATTGCTGTTTGAAGTTGTGACGACGACCCATGGGTGAACTCGAGGAAGCTATAAGAAGCTTAGAAAGAGCTGAAGATACTCCATTCAATCATGTTTTGGGAGAATATTTCAGAATCCCTATGTGTAGCTTCCCTATTGGACAAATGCTAATAACCCTGTGTATGCACATTTAAGGGCTATAATGATGATTTCGTTTTTACTAGAAACTATAAATACCTGACATTTTGTACCGTAATTGATGCTGTTTGAAATTACATTTCTTTTACTTGTCTTTTATGTTCTAACTTGCGACTTAGGAGGGTTTTAGCGTTCGACTGCTCAAATTGTACGTGATATAATAAGAAACTAAGCTCAAGATATAACGGAAGTGATTTTAAGAGTGGACTCAAAGATGATGAATCAACGTTTACTTAAACATAGACTTAGTATGGATGAACCAACGTTTTGATATTGATATTAAATGCAGTGACTGAGTCTGTGTGCAAAGTTATTTTGCTAAAATCATAGTTTTCACTTATTTTTCACTGATAACACATATCTGATAAATTCAAGAATGTTAGTGAAAAGAGTTCCGGAACAGTAACACTAACTTGTTCTTTAGTTTTCTTTAAATCTCTATGAGAAATATTTTGTAAATTTGTACATTCACTGTTTTAATCAGTTAATCGACGTTCATATTGATCTTTCATTAAGTTCATTTTAACTGTTGGACATTCATATGCTCGATTGCACTTTTCTAACATTGAAGCTAATTCAACATTTATTTCCTAAGTAAAATATAGAAAGAAGAGTCAATGTCATTTGGTTCTTTTCAATTATCTTCAACTATATTGTATCAAATAATCAACAATTATCATACACATATATAGATAAATATAGTTATCAGAGTTTTGTATTATAGTTGTGAAGTCCTATGAAATGAGTTGAAAATTATGCAGACGAATAAATTAAGCAAATGGATAAACAAAAAAGAATCGAGTTCCTAGTCCAGTAGACTGTAAT